ATGTACTCAGTACTACTGTGAAACCAATTTATAATCACTCACACTTGCATATGAAAAATGAAACACAACTATAGCCTAGGATGAAGGAAGGAAGGGGAGGGAGAGGGGAAGGCAGGGGGGTGGGTCAGTAGAGGGAAGGTTAGTAGAGGGACCACACCTATGGTACATATTGCAAGTATAAGTTGGATCTATCAGGTGTAGAAGACAAATATCTTAATCCTGTAATTGGGTGAATGAGGTGAAGGCTGTGTTGATTAGTAGGATGTAAGCACTCTACTTTGTACAAATAATCAACACATTGAATCCTATAATGGCATAAATGTATTTATGATCTATGTACAAATGACTTAATAAAAAAAGAATCAACTAGCAAAAAATTGCTGAATAATCTGAACAAGAGTAAAGTAGTATTTCAATATCTGCTCTTTGTAGCTTACATTTAAAGAGAGAACACTTAATTTTATTTTTTTTTTAAAGAGAGAACACTTTAAGGAGAAGTTTTCTTTGGTTTCAGATGGTAATCATTACGACCAAAGAACTGGATGAGTCTGAGAGGCATCAGCCTGTGCCCTCTCTCCTGGGTGGTCTATCTCAACTGCATTTTCTTAAGCAGCATAAACACAACTCTAGGAAAACAGCATAAGAACTATTAAGTTGTAAGCTACAGTTCTTTCAGAACTTATTTGTTACTCATCAGATCTAATCCAAATTCTTCATGCTGCAGTTCAAGAAACCACTAACAACATTTTAGGCAAAATAAATACTTTATTATTTTAATTTTTTTTTAGAATCAGCTTTTGTGTGATATTTCAAACATTTATAAACCTTACAGATACTCTTCTAAAGAACACTGTTAACATCTCATCCACTTTGATTAAAATATCACACATAAAGAAACATAGTAAGAGTTGAAAATTATAAATGCTAAGAGAATAATTTCAATAGCATTTGGTTACTTTACACATTTATTAACACATATAAAACCAAATAGGAAACCACTTTCCTTTTTTTTTCATAAAAACAAAGTTTTCATTGGTTAAAACTGAATTAAAACCATTTACATATGAGAACAAATGTAGATTACTTCTACTTTGAAAAAACAAAAACAAGCTTATTCATTTCTATTCATTCAAGTCATAGGCCCCAGTATTTGGATGATACTCTATTATTTAGTTGAAAAGACAGAAGAAGAAACATCTTATAATAAAGAAGTCTGGACAATGCAAAAAGTACATAGTGTTTAATATAGGGTGCACTACCAAAAGAAAAAATACTATATAAGCTATCACAAAATTATATTTGTCTTGGATAAAGTAACAAGGCTTACAGTGTAAGAACATTAAGTAGTTGTAGGTAACCTCATATAATTCTATCCCACTGCTATTAGTAACCTCCTCAAGAATTAAGAGCAATTTTTACAACAGAATAGTTTTTCTTCTTGGAAGTGACACTAATTAACAGCAGTGGAGGGAAAATCATTGGTTGCTTCAAGCTCTCCAAAAATGAATCAGTTATTGCACAGTAAATACCTCATAGAGGTCAGTGTTTTAAGAAGCTG